GGCCTTTACAGTGGAATGCATGTGGTCATTAAAAAAAGTACAATGAGAAACCCTTCCCTGTTTTTAAAGGAACATAGGTTTATTTGTTCAGTGTTTCTTTGTTTTTATTTTAGATTTAACTCACTGAAATACATAAAAAGGCTAAATAAATATACATATAGTGGTGGTTTGTTTGTTAAACAACCAAAAAAATATATATTTTAAATATATTTTATAGTTGTTTTAAGGATTTACTTGGTTCAACATGTTACCTGATCACAGCCTGGTTCATAGTGTTGTAAATACACACGTGGACACAACTGTTGGTACCCCTCGTTTAATGAARGAAAAACCCACAGTGGTCACAGAAATAACTTGAATCTGACAAAAGTAATAAATGAAAATTATAGGAATTGTCGAAGGAAAGAGTTGTCTCAGGAGATTAGAAAGAAAATTATAGACGAGCATGTTAAAGGTAAAGGTTATAAGACCATCTCCAAGCAGCTTGATGTTCCTGTGACCACAGTTGCACAAATTATTCAGAAGTTTAAGATCCATGGGACTGTAGCAAACCTTCCTGGACGTGGCTGCAGGAGGAAAATTGATGACAAATCAAAGAGACGGATAATATGAATGATTACAAAAGAGCCCAGAAACTGTCCCTACTGTGACACATGGAGGAGCTCTGTYATGTTCTGGGGCTTCTTTGCTGCATCTGGCATCTGTGCAGGGTGCAGTGAAATCTCAAGACTATCTAGGGATTCTAGAGAGAAATGTGCTGCCAGAGTCAGAAAGCTTGGTCTCAGCAGGTCATGGGTCTTCAACAGGATAACAACCCAAAACACAACTAAAACACCCAATAATGGCTAAGAGGAAACACTGGACCATTCTGAAGTGGACTTCTATGAGCCCTGACCTAAATTCTATTGAGCATCTTTGSAAGGAGATGAAACATGMYGYCTGGAAGAGACACCCTTSAAWCCTGAGACAACTAGAKCAGTTTGCTCATGAGGAGTGGAACAACATATCTGCTGATGGCTGCAGAAGTCTCACTGACAGTTACAGAAGTCATTTATTGCAGTGACTGACTCAAATATTAAGTTAAGGTTACCATTTCTGTCCAGGCCTGCTTCATAAGTTTTATTTATTTTTTTTGGAAATTTCTGTTGAAGCATGATTAAAAGGCAATGTCTGAATTTCATATCATTTTTGTTTATTATTACTTTTGTCAGATTCAAGTTATTTCTGTGAMCATTGTGGGATTTCTTCCATTAAACGAGGGGTACCAACAGTTTTGTCCACGTGTAAACTGGTAGGTGCAGTTTTGCAACCGTGTAGACGGCCAGTTCCCAACTGACCTTAAATTATTGTGCATCAATTTACAGCAGGTAAAATAAGTATTGAACACGTCACCATTTTTCTCAGTAAATATATTACTAGAGGTGCTAATGACATGAAATTTTCACCAGATGTCGGTAACAACCC